CCTCGAGGCTGTTCCCACTCAAGGGGCTGCGGCTCATATGCTATAATCTGCTATAGTACATTACAATATGGGAGTTTCCGAAAATTAGGGGTGAATTTTTGCGGGGTCCGTATAATAAGGATCCTAAGGTTTTAGGATACTATATTAGAGCCCCCTTTTTTGGGAAACTCCCATATGGTGTGTTAAGGTGTTGTTATAGTACGAATATAGTAAATTACAGGGTAATCTGGTAATGTCAAGGGAGGCGGGAGGCAGCGGGTTGTCCATGCGACATTGAGAGGCTTCTTATGGAAGCGCAGTTGCCTTGCGTTTCTGCAGACCTTGATGCCGAAAGAGAGGTGTAAAGCTTCTGCCCAGCATCGTTGAATTCGAGCATGTCAGGCCCCAGGAACTTCGCAAATACCGTTGCCAAGCAAGTCGAGATAGCTTTGGATGCGGGCACCTTAGTCGGACAAGACGATGGCTTGGCGATACTGCTGAGTTCACCAAGGAGCACGAGGGGGACGTGCTCGTTTTCGTTCCCGGCGAACGAGAGATAATGCGCCCTGCGCAGTGTTGGTTCACATGAGCTCGTAGTCACTGGACGTTATCAGTTTCGCTCCGTGCTGCGCACAGCTATCCGTCACGCAGGTACGTTTGGATCGCCCTGAACAACATGGGCGTATTACCGGCACGATTTTCTCTAATGATTGCGGAAGGTCTTGAAGACTCCTTCGAAAAATCAACGAACTAAGCTGCCCATCTTCAGAGGTAGCTCCCCACACCCGAAAGCCTGAAACCCCAAACCGCTACCACCCCCGGTGAGTGAGAAAAAGTGCAGGCAGAACCATCCGGTCATCGAGCTGCCACCAAGTCTCGGAATGTGCCAGACAACGCGCTCAGACTCAGTCCGGCAACTGTTAGAAGCCGTTTCCAACAAAGCCAAGCAAACACTCATACTCATAACACCCCGGCTTCTTGTGTTATGACCCTCAGGGATGACAAACTATTCCTATCTCCGCCACGTCCTGTTTGTAGCTACTTAAAGGATCATGGGACTTAGTAACAAGGGTTATGATTAGGGTAACTATACGTATAACCCCTATTAGGGGACTTATAACCTTAATTACTAAGTCCCATGATCCTCCGAGTAGTGCCATATTCCCTCTGATCGGCATCTATCGTGGCAGATCGGTGACGGACAGCGGCCCAAGAATTTGGTGCCCTGGGCCGCTGGGACGGTCGCAGAAGGGGTGGTCTCTGGGAGTTTCCGAAAATAGGGAGCCCAAATATAGTACCCTAAACAGTTGTCCGAGTGTGAGCGCCGAAATAAAAGGATCCTTATTATAAGGAGCCCTAAATAAGGTACCCCCAAGTTTCGGAAACTCCCATCTGTGTTTACGGTTTAGGGAATTTGGTACCAGGCAATTGGAGTTTGGGTTCAGGGTTTTCGAGCTCGGGCTTGATGATGGCGTGTCGGATAGCTTTTGATGGGCTTCTATGTTTTTTCGAAAGTCGGTGGTGCTGGGGCGTCGGCGCAACCAGAGTTTGTAAGGAGTTTGCGGTTGAGGCCTTGAGTGTGAGATGATGAGCTCATGTAATATCACCATTGTGCATTACAGTATTCCTACAGCTGACAAAGGCAACGCCCGCTTGCACACGTGAATTTTGGTATTGCCCAGAGACTCCCATAGCCCTTAATTATGGAATATGTGTTAAATCATAATGGGGATCCCAATATAATTCAATTAGGGTATGTTCCTCAATTAAGGAATATTGGAGTCTCTGGGTGGTTTGAAATTTGAGGCTCGAGGGATTTGAAGCGGTTTTGGGGACTCAAGGTGTTTTCGGATTTCACGTGGCGTTTTGCCCGGGAGGCGTGGATCACAAAAGGGCTTGGCTTTCTTCGGAGCTCAAGGAGACAGGGCTCCTTGAACTCCAAACTAAACTCTCACGGTTTAGGGTATAGGGTTCAACCTCGCAGGAACTACAGTAATGCCTCGCTGGTTGATCGCTGCAAGAGTAAAGGCTTAGAAAGTCGCCGCAGGGTGAACTTCAATCTTTCGGGTCCAAAACCTCAGTTGCTGGGAAGGAACCGGGGGAGGGACAGGGCGGCCCCAGACTTGAAGCAACGCAAGCGTTTTTTTCCGGCGGGCCAGATGATGAGCTCTTCGATGTAGTTGATGTGCAGCTACTACATTAGTTACTACATGTGATTACGGACCAGTTTGCTCCAGATGTCAGTTCCTTGCCGGGAGGACATAAATGCAACACAGGGTGACTGATTAGTGCCCGCTTTGATCAACCAACCTTAGCATGACGAAGCCTGGTGTGCTCAATCGATGCCGTTCTGGTTTAACGATGTTTAACGAACCTCAGTTTGTAAGGTTTGTGGGAAGTAGCAGTGGATCGCATGTGATCCATCACAGCAACATGAATAAGCCAATTGACTCGGTCGGACTCTTTCTTGCCTTTTGCCAAGGCTCATCGACTCATTGATGATTCCAAGTTGGATCTGAGCAAGAAGATCCAGGCTGCCGATTTGGTATTTGAGCCCAGGATTAGTTCCTATGAGGGAAGCGGAGTTCTGAATTTCGACGTCCTTTCTCGAGCGTGGTTGGGCTTAGGGTCCAGACTTCCCGATGCAAGCCGAAGGTGTGCCCGCTCTATGGCACCATGGAGACGCATGAGCAGGAGAGCTAACTTTGTATGCTGCTTCGTTTTCTGACCATCTGTGGTTCAGATGGTTGCACGAATCTGCACGGCCTGTGACTTGTTTCGAGATCCACATATCTCGGCCCAGAGGATGCAGTCATCACTGACTCCGGCGACGGCTGGCGAAAGGCCCATGCCTTGAATTGGAACTGACGTGCATGGAAGCAAGTCCTGAGAGATAGTTGGGCAGCCAGCTCTGAGCTCAACAATTTCAAGCGCAGCAAGCACAGGTGATCCTGGCCACATCCATTGCAGAGTCGTCAATCACAGTGTCGGGCGCCTTCTTCGGCGTTTGCATTGTGTTTGAAGCTCCCAAGTCGGAGCAGGCCCAACAAGGCCCGCAGATGTGGACCACGTGCAAAGCCACTCCAAAGGCACTCCCTGCCACTTTCTCCTCAGACTTCCTTATTCCACAAAGCACTAGAGACTTGTGCCTTCAAGGATGGCTTAACCAGGTGGCACTTTGGGAAACTTGTTAATATTATGGTTCCTATAGAGGTAGCTGTTCATAAATACTTTTAAGGGCCCCGAAGCTACAACCCAGTTAAGTTTGCAAGCTTGAAACGGTCGTTTGAACGAACCCCAGCGCCTTCAGGCCCACAGTAAGAATCGTGGTGGACACCGGTCTGCGGCGAGTCAAGGCCTCCGCTGAAACTCGGACTGGGCTTGCGCTGATCCTTGGGCAAGCGCTGAAGTGAGGGTTTGAGATGGGTTTGCGTGTGTTCATATCAGGTTCATGCAGTTTCAAACCTTGTGTTTGTGTGGATACATGTATGTGTTTATATGTATCATACATGCATAAATGCATGTCTGTGAACCTGTATTTGTAACATTCTGCATTTGTATCTGTATGTGTGTGCATGTATGTCTCCGCATGTATGTCCCCGGATGTATGTCTGTACGGATGTATGTATGTTTGCATGTTACGTATGTATGTACAGATATGAATGGCATTATAAGTCTAGACGCATACATACATATGGAAGTTTCCGAAAATGGGGGGCCCTAATATAGTACCCTAAATAGTAGGACCCTTGTTATAAGGACCCCATAATAAGGTACCCCCAATAATTCCCGGAAACTCCCATACACATGCTTCCTGATATCAAGCTACAGCAGGGAACTCTCTTGAATGGAACAAAGCCTAACCAAAGCCTCGCGATTGAAGGGTTCCAGACAAGACTAGGCTGTTGCCGCTGCTTTTGCTGCTAGTGAAACTGCTACTCCTGTTGCTAATACTAAGCGAAAGGTTTGCTATCAACGGTTGAATCCTTCGCACAAGCCCATGCCCTAAAGTTCAACGTCAGAGCGGGGGGGGGGGGGGGGGGGCAGGGCGGACATAAAGTAGGATCGACGACAGAAATGCACCCTAATTTCAATCTGTAGACTCCTACACCATCTTAGTCCCTTTCGGGAAGGTTGAAACTTGGCATGTGCGACAATGGACAACGACACCGACAAACAAATCAACTGCTGACTCTGTGCAAGTGCTTGTTTTAGCGCAAAGGATACTCCCGTGTCGGTGTACCCCAAGCAAATCCACATGGTTTGTGTTGGCTGTGTTAGCCTGATGTTTGAGACCTACCTTCTGCTGAGGTCAGGTTTGACGGACCCTTATTATACATTTGTAGCTGATTCAGAGCAGAGTCCTGAGCATCAACCGCAACTTCGACCGCGCCGGCTGCAGGCTCAAGGCCTGTTTCATTTTATTCCATGAGCTCTACCGGTAGCAGGACTTCAAAACCTTGCACGCGACGGCTGCCTCGTCCCAGGCGTGTGAGCATCTTGGGGGAGAGGTTTGTGTGCGAAGGAGGAGCCTTTTCTAGCAAGCTGTTCGGTGGAAGCTCCGGGTCATCCCTCATCCCTCCATGACTGCAGTCAGGTGTAATAGGTGCAGTCATCATAACTTGCCGTGTGCATGGCAGAAAGGGCCAGCAACCATACAGATGTCAGCTAATCATGGTGCTTGTAGTTAACCCTAAACCCCCAAACCCTAAACCCTAAACCCCTAAAAACCCTAAACCCCAAACTCTAAGCCCTAAACCCTAAACCCTTGTTGTTGTTGTTGTTGCTGTCATTACGAGTCTGGGCCTTGCTGACGTTCTGATAAGTCGCTGTCAGCGACGTTCTTGTCGTCAGTGTCGTTGAACTTGTTGCTCGCATAAGCTTTGCTTGTTGCTTTAACCTTCCGGTTGTAGGATACGCTTCATACTGCTACACATCTCCCAGACGACCACGGTGCCTAAAAAAAACTCAACAAACAGAACCTACCCTAAACCGCCCTTTGCCTTCGCAGCTTTGAGGGCATGATTCGGGCGCTGGTGGCCTGTGCTGGACCCAGGGCTGAGATAGGGTTGACGGGAATGGGTTCAGGGTTTGGTGTTTAGGGTTCCCCATTTTTATCCTAGGGGTCTGTCCTAGTCATAAAGGGTCCTATTGCTTGGAGTCTTTCAGTTCTTACTACATGTCTATGAGTGGCGTAGATGAGACCATTACCATGCACAGCCTGGATACCTGCACCTAGCTGGTGATGCAGGTAACTTGATGTCATAAGTCTTCAAGTCTTCGAAACACAACCCTTAACCCTAAACCTCCGTGGAACCCTAGAAGTCGCCCTTCTATCCGTAAACCCTAAACCCTAAATGGGAGTTTCCGCAAATGAGGGGTACCCTATTTTGGGGTCCTGATAATAAGGATCCTACTATTTAGGGTACTACATTAGGGGTTCCCCATTTTCGGAAACTCCCAAATCCCTAAACTACATAGCTTCAAGGTGCAACTAACAACCCCAAACACTCAGCTTTCTTGAGGGGCCGAGGTCCTCGGCCCTACAGAAAAAAACGGACAAATACCCTGTCGTGTTGGACCGCAAGGCTTACGTCGAACTCTTATGTAGAGTCTCTATATCACTGTGTATATATGTATATCAAATACATATATATATATATATATATATATATATATATATAAATACATATATGCATATGTATATACATAATATATATATATATATATATATATATACATATACATATACATATACATATACATATATATATATATATATTACATGTGTGTTGTAAGATATCTATGGGACCAATCATCATGGGCACTTCGGTGTGTAGGTCAACCCTCAAGCCTTGCGAGAGAGCCCAGGTGCTGGCTGGATCGTGGTATCTGCAAGTGACATTCAGGCAGTTTGGTTCCTGTCAGATGAAGAGCTTCTAGCGGCAAGCACAAACAGCGTTTCTTGTTACGTCACACCGACAAGAATGATCCTTCATAACAGTTGCAGGCCTGCGAAAACCAGCAGGTTCTCTCGAAGTCTCTTCTCCAGGCGTGGAGAAGCTTTGGGGCTGCTTAATTCGCTCGAATTGTGTCGAAGACTGTGTTGCGACTTATGCTACAGTATGTTTTTGCGACTTACTGCTGGTTCATGGGGTGAAAGGCAGCTCGCATCACGTGGAATGCAGGTGCATGGAACCGCGGAACTAGTGGCCCGCAATGATACTCATCTGGATTGGCAGCATGATCAGCAGGCATGACCGAGGGCCTAAATACCCGATACAAGAACAGGACCTTGATGTGCGTTTACGGATCTAAGCCAGAAGTTGTTCACCAATGTCTGCAGAAGGTGAGATTTCGTGTGGGCATAATCCCTTCGCAGCTGGTTCGTTTAAGGACGACGAAGTCGGACTTTGCGTGGTGCAAGACGACTCCTGCTTCGACATGCAGCTGGACAGCGGCCCTCCTGCTTTGCCACATGTGATTTTCCGAAAATTAGGGGTACCTTATTCTGGGGTCGCAATAATAAGAATCCTACTATTTGGGGTCCTATATGAGGGGCCCCTATTTACGGAAACTCCCACATCTTGACAAGTTGTCATTTGATTGCTGGCTAGTCAGTGTACAGCAGCAGTATTCGCGATCGTAATTGTGTAGTCTGTTCCAGCTCGTACCGTTGCCATGTGCGCAGTTCGGGCAGGACAAGCGATGGCACAACCCCTCTACGTCGGAGGTTCGCCGCCTTGTTCAGGGTTAGTTTTTTAGGCTTGGGGTCGTTTTAGGATGTTGCCCCATATGCCGGCAGCCAAACGGAGCACCATGGACCAGGCTAACCATCTGCGCAGAATTATCCTTCAACCCATTCTAAAGGTGTTCTCCCAATTTCTTCAAGGTTGCGCCTAACCCCTAAACTGAACCCTCGACGGCCCTGAGACAGAAAGTTTGACACAAAGCTTCATAAAGATCCGGAGCCTCCGACCCTAAATCCTACACCCTAATTCCTAAACCCCAACCCTAAACGGGAGCTTCCGAAAATTAGGGGTACCATATTTTGGTGTCCTTACTACAAGGGTCCTACTATTTAGGGTACTCTATCCGGGTCTCCTATTTTCAGAAACTCCCAAATCCTAATTCCTAGACACTGAACCCTACACCTCAATTACACCCGAACTCCTAGGCCCTAAGCCTGAATTCTAAATGTTTGGACACTGAGCCCTAAACCCCTAAACTGAATTTGATGCTTGGTGAATGAGCCGAGCTGAGCATGTTGAAATACCTGAAGCACCACAAACCTCGCCTGCTTGCCGAGAGCGAGTGACAAAGAAACCCTGAAACCTACACCCTCTTCAGGAGCTCAACTTCTCGAAGGCCGCTGTACAGCTCGTCGTCGCACGTCACGGTGAAGACCTCCGATGGCTGGACGCTCTGACCGGGCCCCAGTTCGGGTCGGGTCAGTACTGGGATCTATCAGGGTTCCTTTAAGGGTTTGGGAGTTTCCGAAAGTTAGGGGCTCCTTTAAAGGGATCTATCAGGGTTCCTTGAAGGGTCCTTAAATGGGATCTATAGGGTTTAGGGTTTGGAAGTTTCCAAAAATAGGGTTCCTTTAATGGTCCTTAAATGGGATCTATACCGTAGGGTTTAGGGTTTAGGGTTTGGGAGTTTCCAAAGATTAGGGGTACCTTTTTTGGGTGGTCCTCATAAGGATCCGACGATTTAGGGCGCTACATTAGGGTCCCCTATGTTCGGAAATTCCCATATCGGTAGTTGTCAAAGTAAGGGTCCCTTTTTGGGTACCCTAAATATTAAGCCGTATTATATTAGGGACCCAAGGGACCTTAGTTTTGACAACCAATCATTTGTACGTAGCATCCACCTATAGTCTCCTTAGGAATTAATTTGGTTTTTGTTTATATACAAGCCAGGAGAATAGCACACATGTATTTTCTATTATGGTTCTGAGGGGGGTGTAGATACTACTTTTCTCAGATGTATGAGATACAGTGCATACTGTTTGGTTTATAGAAAAAGATGAGTGTACATTTAAATTAGGGCTGTTAAGTTTTTAGGGCTCAGGGGTATAGTACGGCAGACTCAAAAAAAGGACTACCGAAGGGACCCTAATTGGAGACTTACCAACTAAATGCCCATTAGACATCATATATAGAATACTTAACAATATCTGTCTAGTCTGTAGTACAGTACACGATACACAGCGGCCATGTCGAAGTCGCCAACACAAACTGGAGGGTAACCCTGGACCCGAAACCGTTGAAGATTCGACCGGTGATGAACCCTAAACCCTCAACCCCTAAACACTAAACCCTAAACCCCTAAACCCTAAGCCCTAACTTCGTAACACTACAGTATCCTCGAAGCTAGACTTAAAGCTGCCTGAGTACGGGCAGCCCAGAGAGAGCTTTTCCGCATTGCTCCAACAAGGCATCAGCTCCCTGCGGTGGTGTACAATCGGGGCGGACCTGACAGCCTCTTTGCGATGTTGATAATGGGAAGGGGCGTTCCTCAACTTCGTAGGTGGTTTTGCGGCAGATGTCAAACATCACAAACAGCAGATCTTCTCCCAAAATATCAAAAACACGAGAGCGACTTTGTTTAGCAGCCCCGGGAGGCCCTGCAAGATTTACTTTGGGTTAGTTTAGGGGTCAAGGCCAGAGCCTTCCCGTTCGATCCGGAAGATGTTTTAGAAAGGGGCTTTTGCGACGGAACTGAATGAGAAATCTGCACGTGTTGAGCAAGAGTGCGACTACTTGGCTTTCATGTCTGCGTTTGCAGGGAAACTCCCCCCACCATCCTGCAAAGCAGGGGAATACCTTTGGCAGCCACCTTAAGTCTCACAGAGGTCTGCTTCCGGCAGCCAGGGAAAATTTGCAGATAGTCGTGGAGGAGAATACTGGGAGAGAGGACGAGGCCGACTGGAGTCCGGCAATTGGATGAAGGTTTGCCTTAGGAGTGTCTGCTAGACTTCCAAGATTTCTAACTTGCAATAGCCTGGCAAGTCGCTGACCATTGCATTCTTGTGTTGGATTCGTCATCTGAATCAGGTGATGTGTGAAGCCACGTCTTGACAGGTTTTCCTGCACCACATCGTGGAGAACTACGACACTTTGCCACAGGTCCCTTCGACGCGGAAGCCCGCGGCTAACAGTACGGCTTCCGGTAAGTGGACATGTTCTCATAGTTCAACTATAGTCGGTAGTTTTTACTGCATGTGCATAGCCAGAGCGCATCAGGCTCTCGATGAAAAAAGCTCAGGCAACAGTAATGTGCATCCGCGCTTGACATCCAAGAGGGTGTGGGTCGGAAAAAAACCTACCTTTGGTTAGTAGGGATGGAAGCATGGTGGTAATAGTAGTTATAACTGTACCCCATTCCTCTATTCCCTACTAACCAAAGGGAAAAAATGGCAGGTCACAATTTTCCTGCAGGGCTGGCCTTTCGGGCACTGCCGCTTGGATGCAGTTCGGGGTCTCGGGCGTGCACACGTCGGTTTCGGGATTTGCTTCGGAAAGCAAGAGTGATAGCTTAGTATGGTTACCACTAGTATTAGTATTCGTATCACAATGAGTGTTAGCATTGGACTTGGTATTGGTATGGGTGTTAGAGTATGAGTAAACCAATAATATTATGTTTGTTTTAGTATTCATTGGTTATTAGTTATGATTGTTTTAGTATTCATTGATTATTAGTTTTATGCTTTCTGACCTACCAGGTCCAACTCGTCAAACCGTGAAGAAATCTGCTCCCGGTGACTCCGATGCTACGCTTCGACAACACGATGACGACGACGATAACGATTGGTTTACCGGAATACGACTAATATCCATAAAATCAATGATTAGGTAAAGCCAGAATACTACTAATAATAATGATAACAATGGTAATGACCACAAACATGCAGGGGTTTGCTCTATCTAGAGTACCTCCTGCTCTTCGTGTTGACACCCGGCAGCTTCGTTCTAACAAACGTCACCTTGCCGGGGCGGAAGTGCCGCAATCAAGACTCCCTCAGTTTGGGTCTGCGGATTCATCCGATTTCATTTTCAGCCGAGGTCCTGGCTTTCTGAAGGCAGCAGTGGCCTCGGCAGTAAGTGTGCAAGGGGCATGCCGTCGAGCTGCGGGTGTTTTGTGCTTAGGGCTCTGCAGAACAGCCCACATCAACGCGCTCATGATTTTTCATCGTGATCTTGCCTGCAGTGATTCACAATGAATTCGACACCAGGATGTGTTCCGTTTGGCTTGGAGCCATGGGCTTATAGGCTTTGACATTGGTTGCTCAGGTTCGGAGCACCGTCATGGCCATGTTGCAGCCTGACCAGGCACCGCGTGGGTGTTTCAGTAAGGGACATCGACCATACGCGGTTTAGGTTTTGGTATCCGAGTGCTTCCAAGACGCATGCATGATTGGCTTGTTGGGATGTCCAGATTACTTCATATAGTATGATATACTTTAGTATCTTTATATTGAGTTAAGTTATACTAGGTCATACTCTACTATAGCACTAGTATAGTTTACGTTATATATAGTGTAGTGTGTATACTTGCGTTATATTATCCCAGGGTTTATTCGGCACGCCGCTCTACGCAGGTGGCCGAACTGCAAGGAGTTTCAGATGCCGGCTCAGGTCCGCCGATTTGGGATTTGGGGAGGAACCACAGGAGCCTTCCGACTAGGCACCTTCTTATCGTATTATGATGTATTATGTATTCCAAAACCCCGAGTACAGGACTTTTTGAAGGCCCTTTCAGGCGGCCCTTCAGTGGTGATTGCCGGGCGTCACAGTTCGCTTTCATGATGCTAACAGCCTTGTGTTTCCCACAGGCCACGGTAGCACGGAGGCATTCACCAGGGAAGTTCAACGAGGATACGAAGATGCTGAACCTGGAGATGTGAAGGGCACATGTGGGGTTACCAACATGGACATCGACGAAACTTTCAGCTTGCTAAAAGGTTCAGTCGCAACGGAATAGGTGCGCATGTGTATGTGCAGCTACCTACATGCCTTTACCTATCCAAACAGATCGAGAATATGGGCGCATGTGTGCATGAATGCATGCATACGTACAGTCGATCGTCAGTATGCAGTGCACAGTCACAAGCACGCTCATTCCAGAGATCCGGGAGACGAATCGCGGCCGTTTTCCACGACATGCCACCATTTGCCCCTGCTTGGCTCTGTGTCCCTCAGCCGGAACAGACCCTATCGAATCCTGAATCTGAAAGACCCCGAAACACAATTCTTATATCGAAGGGCTCTAAGCCCTGTAGGCCCAATGGCTTATGTCAGCCCAACAAGCCGCATCAGCCCTACAAGTACTACTTCCACGCCCTACACGATTCACCTTAGAATCTCGGACCCAGAAGAGTGTCCCAGTGATCTTCGCCAGGTCTCGCGCCGTTGACTGGGACGTTCTGGCAGTACAATGTCGCAGCACCCGGCTTAGTCAAGGGTTTGGGTTTGGGGTTCGAGAGTTGCAGTAGCAGGATGTAGGGTTTCCGCAAGGTTGTTGAGATGTCATCTCCATGTGTCGTGATGCTAGCATTCGCGGCATGAGCCAGCGTCATGCTACGTGTACCTGCTGTTGCTGATTGCCATTTTTACTTTCCTATCGTGTTGAGCCAAGTTTGGAGGTGGGGGTATAGTCATAGTATAGTCATTAGGGCTGAAGGAAAGTGGCATCGTCGTGCCTGATGGAGATTCCTGTACATGCTGCAAGTACTTGCGCGCCCAAGTCACCAGACTCCGTTGTGTATAACACTGAACCCCATCACGAAGCCTGAGCCCGCAAACTCCTTACATCCCCTTCGTCCCTCAGTTACTGGTTCCGAAGACCCTAAAACCCTAAAACCCTAGAACCCCAAACCCTAGACCCTAAACCCCTAATCCCCTAAAGCCTGAGCTCCCTCGAAGGCTGGGAAACTCGGCCTGGCTAGCACCCTCGCCATGTCCTCGGCCAGCTCGGGTTTTTGGCTTTGGGGCTTACGAGAAAGCAAGAACTACTTGAAGATTAAAACTGCTGGACCTATAAGAAATAACAGAACTAATAGCACTGCACGCCAACTACGAACTACAAGCACTTACTGCTGGCAGCAGTCGTAGTAGTAGCAGCAGTAGTAGCAGAAGAAGTAGTAGTAGCAGTAGCAGTAGTGGTAGTAGTAGTGGTAGTGGTAGTGGTAGTGGTAGTAGTAGTAGTAGTAGTAGTAGTAGTAGTAGTAGTAGTAGTAGTAGTAGTAGTAGTAGTGGTAGCAGAAGTAGTTGTTGTTGTCGTCGTAGTAGTAGTCGTAGTAGTAGTAGTAGTGGTAGTAGTAGTAGTACTACTACTACTCCTACTACTACTACTACTACTACTACTACTACTACTACTACTACTACTACTACTACTACTACTACTACTACTACTACTACTCCGACTCCGACCTGCTCCTGCTCCTGCTTTTGGTCCTACTCCTACTGCTACTGCTCTTGCTCCTGCTACGACTACGACGGCTACGACCACGACCACGACTACTGCTACGCCTAAGGCCGCCATTCCTACAGCTGCCATCAGACATCATATTTCATTCAGCAATCGCCATCAACATCGTCATCACACTCGGTCCAACAAGGAGAAACAATGAAAGCTCCCAAACCTTAAACCCTAAACTCTATCCCTCTCCTGGCCGATGGCCTTATGTAAGCTCAGACGATTGGGCAGACATCAAAATAAGCTCAAAAACACAACCCTAAACCCTCCCTACTCTTCGAGGCATCGAAGCATTTTCCCATCGGAAGAGACCAGGAGGCGCTAAACTATGCTCGCGCCCGGGGGCTCTGAACAGTGGTGGTTCGATCATTTCTCTTTCGGACGGGTATTGGGGCCCATTATACTCTAGTCTATAGTTACGATATGGAACCCCAGAATAGTATCATCATTTCTCTTTCGAATGGTTTTTGGTGCCCATTATACTATAGTTATCATATGGCCCCCCCCCTCCCCCCCCCCCTCAAAAACACACAAAAAACACAGTATTGGTAATTATTTAGGCCACGACATTAGGGCCTACAGCCAAATATGCAAGGTAGTGTTAAGGTGGAAGCTTCTCTTGCAAACTCCGGTTGCTGGGAGTGGGCTTAGGGTATTGATTCTGGTGCTAGCGGTGAAGAGCATGCCTCAGGGTATAGCAAAGGTTCCGATGATCGTGACATCAGCAACACAATATGAACTTCATGATCCTTTGGGGGTTTGAGGCCTTGTACACAGAGACCTGCACCAAAGTCTTGGGCGGCAGAGACTGTCCAGGCACCCGCGGGACTTCGAAAAGTTTCGGGATCTTGGGATCGGACTTTCGGCGTGGACGTGCAAGAATGGTGGAACCATAATCATAAGGACGCTTCGGGGGGTAGTGGGGAGGGGGGTAGGTAGGGGGCCTTAATACCTTTTTGTTGGATTTAATGGGTCCCAGAGATTTAATTTCCATATATATATATATATATACACACAGATATATGTGTGTGTGTATATATATATATATATATATTTATTTAATTTAGGTACATGTGCGGAGGTTGGATACCATGCAAATCGCCAGGCATGGAGTGGACGGCAGAAGGTGCCCAGTGGGCGGTGTTTGCCTCGGTCTTGATTTCATTTGGCCTTTTTTGCTCAGGTAGTTACCTATTTTTCTGGGGTTCCTTTAAAGCATACTCTAAGGGTTCCTTTGAGGGATCTATAGGGTTTAGGGTTTAGGGGTAGTTAAATACAAAATTGGGGTGGTTCCTTATTATCGTAGTAGTATAATATACCCCCAAACCCTGTTCTAATCATTAAGGCCCCTATACTATTCCCGGCACTTTCCTGGGGTTTCAGGTGACTCGCGATCGTATTTGGTCGACTCCGAAGAGCACCTACACGAATGCGCTGACTCTCGGTGAAGGCGATGCAGAGGGGACTCGGGATGGCCTGTGGCCCAACAGTTGCCAAGACTTCCCCAAGATAAAGATGGTTTCAAGTAAGCATCACCAATCTGTCTTGGCACCACTAGGTACATACCATGGCGAGTAGAGTAGTGATATACATAACCCATTCCAGGACATTGACATCTGCATGCAAAGGCACGTGCACACGTGTGCGAGTGTACTCGTGCACCAAGTCTGCTCACTGACAGCAGCTTGCGAGGCTGGGAGGGAAAGTTTCGGGGGCTGGTCCTCGAAGCCCTGTGGCCCGTGTTGTTTGGCAGCTCGCAGTGGAAGCCCTCGAAGGCAGGGGCGGTGGCTTGTGGCTCTTGTGATGCGAGAAGTGCACTGATGTATGAGCTCACCCATGTGTGCAGAACATGTTTCAGGTGGATATGCTTCCAACACAGGCGGGTCAAGCTTTCAACCGTGCCCGGGCGCCGGACTCGGCCACTGCAGCTGTGATCTAGGGAGGGTCCAGCTTGGAGCGCAGGATAAGACAGGCTCGTCTTCTATGCGACTAGCGACGACGTAGGTGTTATGTAGATCGATCTCATTTTCGTGCTTAATGTTGATGCATGACTTGGTGAGACAGAGCTAGCCAACAGATAGCATTGGACCTTTCTGGGAAGTCGCAGTCCAGCTGAAACGAGTCAAAGAAACCCAGACAACGAACGATTACAAAGGTTGTCCGATTCTCCACGTGTGTCTTAGTCTACCCGGCCAGGTTGCAGGGGTTTTCGGCCTATCAAAAGAGAGTCCAAGAATCCGCCCAGGCCAACAACGGCTTCTGTGCCGCTGACAGCGGCTCAAGGAAGCTTCTTTTCAGCCAAGCCCTTAAGCCCTCCAGAGTCCGAGTCGTGCCGAAGACTCCGAAAGTGGCTCAGACTTTTGCAGCTACATGGGAGTTTCCGAAAATAGGGGACCCAAATATAGTACCCCAAATAGTAGGATCCTTATTATAAGGACCCCCAAATAAGGTACCCCCTAATTTTTGGAAACTCCCACATACTCTCGGACACTCTCTTTTCCTTTGCGAGGTTGTCAGGATCGAGCTGAGTTCTGCGAGAGAGAGCGCAAGCTTGGTGCGGACACAGGCGCAGCATGACGCAGCGATGATGAGATTCATTGCAATATCGGGGCCTGAATACTAATTATGATTCTAGTACAATGGGCCCCGAAACCCTATTCTCATCATTACGGCCCCTACAGTACAAAGGGGGGAGTGTCAGCCCTAGGACTTTTGATCCCAGGTCATGGATTTCCGATTGCCCTGTTGCCATCACATGGCCTAATGACCCTATCTAAGAGTTTCATACACACACACACACATATATATATATATACATACACATATGATCGGTTCTGGGTTCGCCGACCCCACCCCCTCCTGCACACCCGGCTGCAAACATGCCGAATCCCTGTGACTGTGCGCGCTTCTCCCTTATGGCGGCTCCAACACCATCAACTGTCACGAGGATCAGGATCTCGTCCCAAACACACCCTATCCTGGTGACACGGCTCCGACATGAGGGTTACAAGTTCAACTGTCACGAGGATCGGGTTCCTGACAGGCCCGATGCCTGTGACAGTTGACCCAGGAAAGGCAACCTATGATGATGATGATGATGATCATCATCATCATCATGATCATGACACCAACCCCCGGCAGACGTATATCCGGAACTACAAGGACCCAAACCCGAACCACACCATACCACAGGGAGGAAGGGGGGGCACCCACCCAGCATGGGGGGGAGAGGGGGGTCGTCACACAGTATGGCTTCGCTGCAGAGGCAAGTTGTTCGAGTCAGACCGGCTGAACTTCAAGGTGCACCTTTGCCGGGGGGGGCTTGATTAGGTTTGGGTTGCCGGGGGCAGGACTTGTTCAAACTACTTTCAGAGCTGCATCAACGACTTTGAGCTTGAAAGCCCCTGCACCTTAATGCAGTGCCACGGAAACTGTGGAATGTTTTCAAGTGATTCAGCAGGAAACTATACCACCCGACAACCGCCCAGTAAATCCCGGCCTCATCACAATGAAGCGAAAAACAGGAAGACGAGTTTGAGAATCCCCAACGCCTATAGTGACAAATCCCGACGAGCCCAAGCCCCAAAAGCCATTAAATTCCAAACTCTAAACCGTACAGCTCCAAATCCATTACGCTAACCACTCGCCTAACCACTAAACCCTAAACCCGAACCCTCTTAAGGGGGATCTTCGGTGAGCAAACATACCTGCAGGTCCAAAAAGGGTCGCAAAAAAAGCCAACCCCAAATGAAACTCCGACAATAGGGGACCCTAATATAGTAACCTAAATATTAGGACCCTTATTATAAGGACCCAAATAAGGTACCCCCTAATTTTTGGAAACTCTCAAACCCTAAACCCTGTAGATCCCTTATAGATCCCTTTTAAGGAACCCTTATAGAGATCCCTTTAATTTTCGGAAACTTTCAAATCTGAATCGAACCCAAGCGCAGATCCACGACGCCTCGGACAACGGGCCCTGGCGGTTAGAGGCGAAGCTGCAGCCGATCCTCTGGGGTGCGGAGCTCAGTCAGCCCAGAGACTCCAATATCCTTTAATTAAGGAATATACCTTAAATTATAGTAGGATCCTTAATATGATTTAAGGTATATTCCTTAATTAAGGGATATGGGAGTCTCTGGGAGCAAGCTTTGAAGTACAGTAAACCCCGTAAAGGGAACTCCAGAAAGTTGGAATGTGGATTAATGGTAGGATCCCCTATAATTTACCTTAAAGGGGTTACGATAATGATATTCCAACTTTCTGGCTTCTATTGTAAAGTTGGAAACCGGATTAAGGCCAAATAGTGCTGGGATTCCCTATAAATTACTCTTAAGGATCGAGGCTATGGGGTTTCCAACTGTTGGGCTTCTACTGTATTATAGTCGGTTTTAGGATTGAGGGGATTATTATAGGACCCTCCAAAATGGTAAAATAGGACTTCGGGGTATGCTTTGCTGAAATCGTAGGATGGAGCCCTAAGAGATCGTCTTGCTACTTGTAGTTATCCCGATGGGATTTGGGGTTGTTTCATGCTTAGGTTCAGGGCAGACTTGGGGTTTAGGGTTTTAGTCAGGGTTTGGGGTTCAGGGCTGTTGATGGTTCAGGATTTTTTTTGGGCACTAAGCCCCAAAACCACGAACCCTAGACGCTATTTCTGAACCCCAAACCCTAAAACCTCTAGCTACCACTGCCCCAAACAACCCTAAACCCTATAGATCCCTTGGCAGGAAACATTATAATACCCTTAAAAGGAACCCTTAAAGTACCCTATAAAAGAGCCCTAAGCCCTAAGCCCTCTAAAAGCTCACCTGGTGAGCACCTGCAAGGCTCTGCAACATGGTGGCCCCGGGCAAGCCCACAGGCAGCAGGGGGGGATTTGGGGCTTTGGGTTTAGGGTTTTAAGTTTTGGGTTTTGGGTTTTGGGTTTTGGGTTTTAGGGTTTAGGGTTTAGGGTTTAGGGTTTTAGGTTTAGGGCTGTAGGTCTAGGGGTTTCGGGTTTAGTAGGGTTTGGGGTTTTACAGTAGGTTCAGGGTTTTAGGTTGAGGGCTTTGGGTTTGCGGCTTTGGGGAGTTTTGGGTATGGTTTCGAAGTGGAGGTTTTCAGATGTGATGGTCTGAATCGATATTATTGCTCCCGCCGCATCAGGCGAGAGGGACGAGAATGGGCCCCTACGAAGTATATCTCCGACATTCCTTGCTGCGTTTTTGATACTCTGGCCCAAGTCTTGGTGGAATCAAACCCACTTAAGGGATCATGGGACTTAGTAACTCGGGTTATAATTAGGGTAACTATACTTATAACCCCAATTAAGGTACTTATAACCTTACTTACTAAGTCCCATGATCCTCCAAGCGGTGGAATCAAACCCACTCAGCCTGGAGGCGCAAGCCCTGCGGAACGTGACCTTCGATCCAGTCATTGTGGAGCTGAACGGTGCTGCCCTCACATGGATGGTTGTCAAAATTATGGTCCTTTTCGGGGTCCATTTTATAAGACGGCACCTACTATTTATGGAACCCAAACAGGGACCCTGCTTTTGACAACTACCCACATGGATGAACCTGCAAGAATCGGGCGGTTTATTTTCATGGCCCGGTCAGTGTTTGTCCTCAACCGTGTCCCGAAACCGGTCCCGAACCATGTTTGTTAGAATTAGGGGTTTAGGGTTTAGGGGCTGTGCTGGCGTGACGTTGCAAGCCAGTTGCAAAAGGGGTTAGAACGTGTGATGCCCCTTTTTCAGAAAATCCCAGGTCCCCTATAAACCCCAAACCCCCCCGATCCCAAAGTGGGTCGTGCCTTCGAGGATTGCTTGGCCTGCGGCGCTCGGACCGTGCAGACCTGTCGGACGCGGGAGCCCTGAGAGGATGTTAATGCGAGGGCCTTAATAATTAGAATAATAACAATAATAATAAGAGTAATCGTAATAATAATAATGATAAAAATAATAATAGTAATAACAATAAGTAGAATAGGGTTTGGGGGTACATTATTACACTATAGATACAATAAGGAACCCCAAAACCCTATTCTATAATTATTAAGGCCCCTTACATTGCTTTAATTGGGGGCTCAAGACCGAAATAACCGATCAAGACGACGAGCAGCACCCATGTCGGGCTTTCCTCAACAGGTGTCAGGTAAAGCTGTTACTACCTTCAGTAGCTGTAACGGTCAAGTTTCATTCCTGATGCATCATGGTTTTTCCAGCAGGATAACGGCAGATGCAAGCAAACCCGACCATGCCACCACTGTCTGCTGTCATCCCGGTGGAAGCATCAAAGACGCGATGAGTAACAATAGCTGAGCACAACACTGCATCCCCCTTCGGCATGCCTCGTTGAACACGAGCTTATGCTGATGAGATCTGATGAGGACAACCCCCCTTTAGTGGTGGTACCCCCAAGCTTGTGTAATCTCTTTATCAAGCCTTTCTTCTACAGTGCCAAGGCCAGACCTAACCCTGTATAAGCCTATGTAACTCCTGAGAGAAAGAGCTCTTGCCGAGGTGCACTGGAACGTCACGGCATCTGGTGCAGGCTTCACGTTGAGCAGGCCCTTGCGCACTTTGCCTGTGTCGTGCAATTTGGTTCTACAGGATAGGCAAAGCACTAGCCGCAAAATCACGGCAACAACAACAGCAACTACAACTACCACTGCAACTACGACTACAACTACTACAACTACAACAGCAGCATCAGCAACAGCAAAACCGAAACACATCAAAGAGCAGTAACAACAACTGTAAGAGTAAGGATCGTGACGATAGACAAAGCAGTAGAAGAGACTGCACTTCGACCTGCTAGGATCAGCTTTAGCTGAAATAGATACCCATATTTGAGATTACGGTAGAGATTACTGACAGCACGTTCCAAACTATTAAACAGATGCAGGTACACCTGAGGAGGAATGCGCGCTTTGCTTCTGTAGCAGTAAACTACATGTCCAGGACATGGACATAAGAAGGATGCAATGAGAGTTTGCAGCTGGCCTTACTCGTCGGCATGCTTGTCATGCTCTTGGTGGGCCCGAGCCAGAAAGAAGGCAGCAAGAACAGGCCGTCTCAGATACTTTGATGGCCATGTCTTTCGAACCTGTGGCAAGGAGAAGGGCCAGACTCCGGCCCGAAATTCCTTGGATGCTTGCGCTGCTCGTTGTCCTGGCGACGCGCTGCAGTTCGGATTACGGCCCGGCCTTCCTGGGATCAGCACGAGCCCGAGCAGGAGGGCCGATGGCCCGGCTCCGAAAACCCTCGGCGATGAGCCGAAAGTCGGAGAGCACGGAGGAGAAGGAAGAACGCCGCGAGTTCGCGACTCAAGTTAGCAGAGACGTTGCGGTTTGGATGATCCTGGCATTTGCCACCTCTGGTACAGAGTGGGCTCCATATCTCATTTATGCTGGCGCAGCATCCGTTGCTTTTGCAGTGTGCTACCAGGCATACAATGCATGGGAAAAGAGCAGGAGATGATCGCATGCTTCCCACGCGCAATGTCGGGAAGAAGGTTGTCGAAGGAGCAGTACACGCGGCAAGTGGCAATGCATCCGAAGCTCATGGTGCACGCGAGCACAGTGCTCGGCGACACCGCACCAGGCAAGGATGGAGAGCCGGAGCTTCTTCCCGAGAGCCCGGAAGGGTGGGCCACAGGAAAGCAGCAAGTGCTCGCTTGTCAGAAGTGCACTATTTGGTTGCTTGCCTGGCGGGGAAAGAGCTGCGATCACAGATCATGGGGCTTTCGGGCTCCCAAGCTAGCTGTGGGTGCGAGAAAAATAGCAAGTAGCGGTTTCTGGTTCGCTCGGATCTGGAAATCAAGCGACCAGGAGCCTCGTGATCGTAGGCAGCAAGCCACCCAACACAGACCCGGGTTGTTGCTGTGTTGTCATGGGTACAATGACTGTTAGCATTATTCCTCTTCGTACCGTTTTTATTAAATTACTATGTGAAGGGAGGGGAGTCTGCCCTATTTGGCAGTGTGCAGGAAAATATCCTAAGCAGACGCAGGATGGGAAAGATACGCAACTCCTGTGCTTTCACATGCTGCTGTTGGTTTGGGACTGCAAAGTGACTGATTCTGCAGGACGGACCCGACCGGGGCACCACAGTTTCTGGGCTTTGTGCTCAGTTGCTGAGGAGCTCACTCACTCTGAACTCTTGTTAGAGTCGCCCTCAACCCCTAAACCCTGAACCGGGACCTGCACTCAATACATGTTTGCTTGAGACTATTAAAGTTGTTCAAGTAGCAGGAAGCCCCTACACCCTAAATACTTTTCTGCTTCTTGAGAGTCATCGGCTGCGCTTGCGAAAGTTCATACCTTGGCCTAGAGTGCTCCACAAGGCCCTTGAAGCCTAAACCGCCTCCACGACATGATCGATTGCATAATCATATTACCATATCGTTTCTTATTTGTATATGTTATAAGATATATATCTTATGTACCTGCATATGACTCATTACATATCAATCACTGCCATATATGTTATTATGTGACAGATCTCTGATCTGCAAAGGTTGTCAGCAAGGCTTTGCACAGCTGCCTTGCCCTCGGCCGGAGGATTGTCGGGCTCATGGCCTTCGCTTGTTGTCGAAGGGCAGTCTTATCGGGTTCTGACAGTTTAGGGGTTCAGGGTTTGGGTTTGAGGGCGTGATGTGTAGGGTTTAGGGTTGAGGGCGTGCTGTGTAGGGTTTAGGGTTGCGGGAATAATGTGGAACACGCCATTTCATCTTTTCGAATTCTCTAAGAATGCACTTCCACTCCTACGTCCCGACCTTGGCACACTGGAAATGCCAAATCGCCCCTTCAAGGCAACCCCTCTTCCAGTGCTACCTTAAACCCCGCACCCCCAAAGCCTCTACGCACCAAGAACCTCGCCTGGCCTGTCCACGACAATGAAAGATAATGAAACTTATCAGGATTCAAAAGCTATGTTCTAGAGGAGACATGGCGAGGCCTTGAACAGCCTACGTATCATATACACGTAAAGTTTATACGTATAAAACGTATAATCACTGATACGTTTATACGTCGTACGGCACGCCCGGGCCCGTATACGGGCCTGCCAGGGCCGTACGGCGGATACGTTTGTACGTGCTACAGCACGCACCGGCCCGTATACAGGCCCATTCGGGCCGGACAACTACGTGGGATACGTATCCCATATACGTCAAACCACCATTATACGTATAAGTATACGTCGGATATGATACACGGATACGTAAGATATGATACGTCCTTGGGGTCCATCATTCTCTAGAAAGCATCTCCACATGCCTTTTGAATCCAGCTAAAATGAAACTGGAAACAGTAAAAACAAGCATCTACAACCGGAAACGCATCAAGCCAAGAGATCTCAAAGCACAGTCTTTCATTGTCTCTTGCTGTCTCTCTCTGTCTGCCTCTCTCTCTCTTTCTCTCTCTCTCTCTCTCTCTCTCTCTCTCTCTCTCGCCGTTTGTAAGTATTGTCTTTCTATCTCTCTATCTCTCCATGTATCTGCACTTTACTGATACATCGCACACCTGCAGATGATGCTTCTCCTAAGTCTCGGCACCTTGCCGACTGCACCCAAACACCAAGGTCTGCTCGAATAAAACCCTATAGAACCCTTAAAGGAACTTAAAGGAGCCCTAAAGGAACCCTTAAGGGAGTCCTAAAGGAAGCCTTAGAGGAGCCCTAAGCCGTTAAATGCGCATCTCTGAGGCTGCCAGAGCCCTCTGTCTGGGAGTTTACGAAGCTTCTAGACGCTGGGCAGAACAAATTTGGGTGGTTGTCAATATTAGGGCCCCGTTTTGGGTCTTTAGTATTATACGGCACCTATATATTTAGCGTACCCAAAAAGGGACCTTAATTTTGACAACTACCCATTTGAATGTTTGGTTGTGGAAATAGACACATGCATTCAACGCAAAATGCTGCTGTGCTTTGCATATGGTGCTTTATGTTGCGGGTGTACCGGTGTAACTAGTAAGTATATGCTTGCAACATACTGAAGCCTGTCGTCGAGTCTGGTGTTGGACGATACGCAGCATGGAACGACACATCCTGAAGGATGTGGAGATGGGTAATGTAGGAACCTGATCAAGAAACCTTGGGCCTGTATTAGTATTCCTTATACGAATACTACTGGTACTATTTTGGGGATATAGGCCCAGGGTTTCTTAATCAGGTTCCTACACTATGAAAGGGCTTGGTGCTTTTGGAGCGGCGCCGACCCGGAGCTGGTCGAGTCCATGAATTTGGAGTTTAGGGTTATGTTTCAAGGGGGACTTATGTAGGGCTGAGAGGACTGCAAGTTAAGTTGCGAGAGAAGCTGCTGGAACATCACTGGCATTTGGGCAGCCTAGGATGGGTGGATCCAGCTGCGGCACATGCAGGCAGATACTGTAGCAGTTGTTTGCTTTCTTCGGCATTGCACGTCCCGGTGTTCAGTTTACAAGCGGAAGAGGCGGCCATGAAAGACTGGGCTCAGCAAAATCAGAAAGTATCTCCGGGATCGGCAGGGTCGAGCCACCGCCGGTACCGATGTCTATGCTGCGGCCACATATCGTGACAGTACTGCAAAAAAAGGCAGGATTGGTTGCAAGTTGCGGGAACAAAAACCAGCAAACGAATATCATGTCTTGGTGGTAGTTCTGGTTACTAAGTCAGTGGTGGTTGCAACATCAGCGCCAGTTGTTGTTTTCGCCGTTGTCGTCGCGATAGCACTGTCAAGGCCACATCGAACAAATGCGACGAGCCATGGTCTCAAACCTAGGCATGCACTGGGACTGCGGACCTTGTATAATTGCACCCGGTCGGCACAACTCCTGAAGCCTTCGAGCCCAAGACGCAGCTGGTGCGTGTTCACAGGCCAGCCAGTTCCTGTCGAT